GAAAAAGCGGCCCGTCAAAATAGCCGTGGCAAAAGCTGACCGAACAGCTCAGGAGCCACACCAAGCGGAGCCCCAGCAGCATCCCGGGGGAGGGAGGCCGCCAGACCACACGTCCCCAAGCGGAGGGCGAAGGCGACTCCGTACGCGCGTAGTTCAAGTCCTCTGGTTATAGCCGCCCTTCGCGCAGGGCTTCATTGGGACCCGCTGGAGAGCGGTCGCTTGGCCCTTCTCGCTCCCCGCTTGAAAGTTCTCTGTTGCGCCCGATTTGCCCGCGAGAACCTCGCTTTTCCCGGGAGGGGGTGGGCGGGGGAGATCTACAAACCTTAAGGAGGAGCCTCTGGCTTCTTTCCCATCAACCTTCCTAATCGGCAGCAGCACGTTTTCCCTTCTCCTGTCTCCTCACAAGTTAGGAAACTTCCAACCAAAAACGGAGAGGGAGAGAGGGCGCGCTTGCGTCCAGATTTGAGTGAGACCTGCCTGAAGCTGCTGCAGCCGCTTCGTGCTACTTTTTTTCATTCTCCATCTGGATTGGTGCTTTAGCGGGAGTTCGGCTTTTGGCCGTAGGATCTCTCTCTTCTCCTCTCAAATTACACCACTGGGCCCCGTCGCGTACGGAGAAGCCCAGACACCAAGTTTGGAACGAATCCTTACCTCGGTGTCATTATTAAAGCTACAGTATCATCTCTTTTTGGAGAGCCTGCAATTCAAGAGGAGAGGCCTTTCACGTAGAGAAAGAAATCCTGTGCCAGTGAGATCTTTTGACTTGCCTCTTCAGCAGAGCCTCTTCAGCAAGTCAACATTTTTGTCCTGTTGCTTTAGTTTAGAAAGTGACCTTTTCCAGCAGAAATTCCAAGTAAGGCTGGTCAGCCTATTTTCAAGATCATATTAGAAGGGGACCGCTTTTTGAAAATATAAGTTTAAAATGTAATAAATCACCACTTGTTCGATAAGCACAACAGAATAAATAAGCCGCTTGTTTTCCTAGAATGCCCTTGGGCTGGTGAAAGGGGGGAGGGGGGCAGAAAACCAACTAGAGAATAATCTTTCCCAAATAGTCATTGAAATCATAAAATGGTCATGAAAACTGAAGAGTTGTGTGATATTTACAAAGTATAGCTTTTTATTATTGAAATAGAAATAATAGGAATCCAAATGACAGCAGCGCATAATAAAATAGAGATGAATCATCCACGCTAACAAATGTTTGCTGCCTCTTGTACTGGATAGAATGGCCTGGGTTCCCATTGGTGTGTCATGCTGTAATCAGCAGAGTGATTCTCAGTTGTGTCTGAATTCAGTTGTCATTTTCTTCTCAGTCCTCTCAAATCAAAAGACTTGGCCTTCCACTAAATCTCAGCTTCCTTGGGCAAATATTTGTATGTTATATTTATGTCCCACACTTAATTCAAAAATGCAAGGTGGCATGTAGAGAATACCCTCCTCACGTTTTTCCCCACCT